CACCTTCTCCTCCCTCTCCCATTCCCAGTCCTATTCTCCATTAGGATTCTTTTTCAATTAACTTTATACACAGAAGACCAACTCTATACTAAGTAAGGATTTCAACAATTTTGCACACACACACACACACACACACACATACTGAGAACAAGTTTTACAGTTAATTCTCATAACAACTTATTGAGGACAGAAGTCCTGCATGGGAAATAAGTGCACAGTGACTCCTGTTGTTAATTTAATAATTAAGATGCTTCTGTAGGACATAGTGATCACCTGAGGCTGTTGACTTGAGCTTCCAAGGCTATTGAAGCCTTTTGAATCCACAATCTCTGTCAGTATTAAGACAAGGCTATAAGCAAAGTGGAAGTTTCTCCTCCCTTCAGAGAGAAGTACATCCTTCTTTGGTGGCCACTTCTTTCCACTGGGGTCTCTCACAGGGATCCTTCAGGTAGGACTTTTTTTTTTTTCCCCACAGTGTCTTGGCTTTCCATGCCTGATATGTTTCATCGGCTTTCAGCCAGACCAGAACGACTTAAGGGCTGATTCTGAGGTCTGAGTGCTATTTTAAGCAATTGTCATTCTTTGAGTCTGCTGTGTATACTGCTTCCCATGTTGGAGCATTCTCTCCTTTTTAATTCTATCTATTATTATTACCAGACACTTGAGCTTATTTTTTTTTAACGACTTGGAGTAGTCCAGGGAAAATATCTCTTTTTTTTTTTTTTTTAAAGATTTATTATTTGAAAGTCAGAGAGAGGTCTTCCATCTGCTGGTTCACTCCCCAGATGGCTGCAATGGCCAGAGCTCCACCGATCCGAAGCCAGGAGCTAGGAACTTCTTCCAGGTCTCCCACATGGATGCAGGGGCCAAAGCACTTGGGTCATCTTCCAGTGTGTTCCCAGGCCATAACAGAGCTAGATCGGAAGTGAAGCAGCCAGGACTCAAACCAGCACTCATATGTGATGCAGTGGCTAAACCTATTGCACCACAATGAGCATTGTATGATATGGTCTGTTGCTTCTACTGTTAACTGTCAATCTTCTTCATTGGGTGCAAAAAAGTTTAAATTTTTTTCCTCACCAATTGATGCATATGGTCTACTGCTGCAAGCTTCATCTTCAGCATTGTCTAGTTCTTTCTTAAAATGAGTTATTCATCTTTAAATTCTTTAAATTTTTTAAAGATTTATTTATTGTACTTGAAAGAGTTACACAGAGAGAGGAATGGCAGAGAGAGAGAGAGAGATCTTCCATCTGCTGGTTCACTCCCCAGTTGACCACAACAGCCAGAGGTGAGCTGATCCAAAGCCAGGAGCCAGGAGCTTCTTCTGGGTCTCCCACGTGGGTGCAAGGGCCCAAGGAGTTGGGCCATCTTCTACTTCTCTCCCAGGCCATAGCAGAGAGCTGGATCGGAAGTGGAACAGCCGGGTCTTTTTTTTTTTTTTTTTTTTTTGACAGAGTGGACAGTGAGAGAGAGAGACAGAGAGAAAGGTCTTCCTTTGCCGTTGGTTCACCCTCCAATGGCTGCCGCGGCCTGCGCGCTGCGGCCGGCGCACCGCGCTGATCCGATGGCAGGAGCCAGGAGCCAGGTACTTCTCCTGGTCTCCCATGGGGTGCAGGGCCCAAGCACCTGGGCCATCTTCCACTGCACTCCCTGGCCACAGCAGAGGAATGGCTTGGAAGAGGGCCAACCGGGACAGAATCCAGCGCCCCGACCGGGACTAGAACCTGGTGTGCCGGCGCCGCTAGGCGGAGGATTAGCCTAGTGAGCTGCGGCGCCGGCCAACAGCCGGGTCTTGAACTGGCACCCATATGAGATGCTGGCACTGCAGGCAATGGCTTTACCCACTATGCCGCAGCGCCGGCCCCCATCTTTAAATTCTTGATGTCTTTGCAACATTGTCCCCATAAACATTTTGTAAAACATCAGTGATTCACCATTCTTCCACTCAACCTTAATCACCATTTTTATGTTTGTTCTTGATTCTGTTTTAACAGAGTTCATGGTGCTTTGATAGGGGCTTCCAAATGGCATAGCCTAGTTAGTATAGTTAGTAAAACTTTATTTGGCACACAAAAAAAATCCATGCATAGTTTTTCATAATAGACATTTTCCATGAACATTTTGAGGATACCTTGTGTACTGCTGTTGTTAAGAGACCCCTAGGGGCTGGCGCTGTGGCTCACTTGGTTAATCCTCCGCCTACGGCGCTGGCATCACATATGGGTGCTGGGTTCTAGTCCCAGTTGCTCCTCTTCCAGTCCAGCTCTCTGCTGTGGCCTGGGAAGGCAGTGGAGGATGGCCCAAGTGCTTGGGTTCCTGTACCCATGTGGGAGACCAGGGAGAAGCACCTGGCTCCTGGCTTTGCGGTGTAGTTCCGGCCATAGCACCCATTTGGAGGGTGAACCAATGGAAGGAATACCTCTCTCTCTGTCTCTCTCTCTCACTGTCTAACTCTATCTGTCAAATAAAAAATTTAAAAAAAGAGACCCCTAAAAAATATTGGTTTTTATTTTCATTTTCTTAGATCAATTCAGAGATTATGTAAGAGTCTATGATAGTAAATACTAAAACGAGACTGCAAAGTGTGTTCAATGAAGTTAGCTGAAGAGGGAGAGTTTAATTGATTTTGAATATTACAGAGTATAAAATCAAGATCAGTTCTAACATTTCTGCAAACCCTGGTGCAGAAGGGTGAGAAAATTTACTGTTCCACAGTGTGACAAAGATAGCAAAAGACAGTTGTGATTAGAATTAGGAAATTGATAATGAAATCTATACTTGCTTTTGTTTTGTGAACTTCAATGATTTATTTTAAGTGAGATGTCAACTCTTGTTGAAGCATTATGTACCTAAACATGTTCACCTGTTCTAAATACTGCCTTTAGGTATGTTTGCACATTGGTATAGTTAGTGTCTTAGTTACTGTATAACAGGGTAAATAATTTTTTTTAAGATTTATGTATTTTTATTGAGAGGCAGAATTGCATACAGAGAGAAAGGTCTTCTATCTGCTGGTTCACTCCCAAAATGGTTGCAATGGCTGAAGCTGGGCTAATCTGAAGCCAGGTGCCAGGAGTTTCTTCTGGGTCTCCCACATGAGTGCAGGCGCCCAAGGACTTGGGCCATCTTCCACTGCTTTCCCAGGGCACAAGTAGAGAGCAGGATCTGAAGTAGAGCAGCCGGAACACTAACCAAGATGCTGGCAGCCAGAGACCCAGCCTACTATGCCACAACATCAGCCCTGTAAATAATGTTTAGTGCATACTTTTGTGAATAACTTTTTGTCTTTCATACTACTAAGAGTGTTGGTTGATATTGACTTTATTTTGTGCTCTTGGACCAGAAGAGACCTACTGTCGCATGGTACCTCCATTTCCCATACAACTTACTGTTAATGCATACCCTGGGAGGCAGCAGTTGATGGTTTGGGTCCCTCCAATCCATGTTGAAGGCCCAAATTGAGTTTCAGGCTCCTGGCTTTGCCCTGGCCTAGCCCTGGCTGTTGCAGACATTTTGGTTTTGGGAGTGAACCAGTGGGTAGAAAGTTTCTCCTCTTTGCTCTCTTCCCCTCTCTGTTGTTCTGCCTTTCAAATAAATACAAATAAATAAACTCAACAAAGGATGCAAGATTTGGCATTCATGTATTATGAAGTCTGGACAGGAGGAGGGAAGTCGTAAACTAGTTCTCATTTGGACAAGAGTTGATCAGTTAGCTAGCTGTTGCTCCCCCTCTTCGTGGAGGAACGACACTAAACCCTGCGCTGTTCTTTCGTCTGCTCGGCCCTCCCCGGGTTTGCTGCTGGTTCTTCCCGGGTTGGCTACTATCCCTTCCACCTCCGTGGAAGGGCAGTTCCCCCTGGCCACATTCCCCACTTCCGCAGGGGAGCGGCACACCGCCGGCCGGGTCTCTCGGGGGCTGCACGGGTGTTCCTTCAGCTAGATGTTCCCCTTAGATGTTCCTGGTGCATGCCGTCTCTCTCCTCCTTTATAGTCCTCCTCTGCCAATCCCAACTCGGCTGCCCACACGCCGAGTACGCTGCTCTCCTCCAATCAGGAGCAAGTCCTACAGTTTATTGGTTGAACTGGAGGCAGCTGTGTAAAAGCTGTTTACTTCTCTCCCAGCGCCATATTGTGGGAGAGCAGATGCATAGAATAAGTCTTAATTCCAGTAACTCAGTCTAGTCCGGATTGCTCCCCACAGCTAGCTAAATCCGTGCCCCTCCCATGTCCTTTTCTTTATCTGGGCTGAACCGATCACAAAACTGTTTGGTGATTTTCCTACTAACATACCAGGTGCACGCATGTTCTGAATCTCTTCTCTCCAGGAGAAAAACCATCACAATACAAAATTTAAGTTTTGATATTTTAAAACCTAGTTTATTCATTTTTCTGATTGATGGAAAATACTTTTTAAGTAACTTCTACCTAAAGTACTTTTGCAAAAAGCTGATTATTTGTTCTAATGTAGCTTTTTTCCTTTCAGTTTACTATGCAAGTCACTCCTCCTGAAATATATAGGAAACCTACATCATCCTAGCTATTGCCAAGGAAGCCTGGTCATATATTCCTGTTCTTGCAAAATCTCAGTCAAATTAATACCTTTTTTTTCCCTAAGATTTATTTTATTTGAGAGGTAGAGTTTACAAACAGAGAGGTTTTCCATCCACTGGTTAACTCCCCAAATTTGCTGCGATGGCCAGAGCTGGGCTGATCCAAAGCCAGGAGCCAGGAGCTTCTTCCAGGTCTCCCATGTGGATGCAGGAGCCCTATCACTTGAGCCATCTTCCACTGCTTTCCCAGGCACATTAGCAGGGAACTGGATCAGAGGTGGAGCAGCTCGGAGTCCAATTGGTGCCCATATGCGATGCTGGTATCCCAGGTGGTGGCTTTACCTGCTGTGCTACAATGCCAGCCCTGCATCGTGCACTTTAATATTTCTGTTCTTAAATAATCTAGCCATTCTGCAGTCTGGTTGATGTTTTCTCTCTTTTCTGCAGTTTCATGCTATGGATACGTTGTATAGACACGGCTATGATTTAAGCAGTGCCATTAGTGTCTTAGTACCACTTGGAGGACCTGTTTTATGCAGAGATGAAATGGAAGAATGGTCGGCCTCTGAAGCTAGCTTATTTGAAGAGGCACTGGAAAAATACGGGAAAGACTTCAATGACATACGTCAAGACTTTGTAAGTAAATTAAAATAACGTCGGGGTGGGAATATTTTGTTTTGGAAATAATACAGCCTTTAGGGAGCCTGGGACATAATAATTTTTATCCGCTCAGTGTAGAATGAAGGCCAGTCTTGTAGAGGGAAAAAACTGATGCTTGTTCTTAGGATTAGTTTTAATATGTAGGTCAGGAACCTGAGATCTTGCTGCATACTTTGACAGTGTGAATTTACAGTCATGACCTCTCTGGGTGTTTCAGGCTAAACGTGGACAGCTCTTCTGATCACTTTCTGTACACATCTCTGATCTCTCTCCTTAGGCTCATTGCTGTCCTGTAAGCCTTCCATATTTTTCTAATTGTTTACCAATTGTTGAGCATGAATTTGATGCAGACTTTTAATGTGGAAATAACCTCTGTGAAGCATAGTAGAATTGACTTAATGGGTTTTTTTATTTTGTTTTAAAGATTTTATATATTTATTTGAGAGGTAGAGTTACAGACAGAGGGAGAGACAGAGAGAAAGATCTTCCTTCTGTTGGTTCATTCCCCAAATGGCTGCAGTGGCTGGAGCTGTGCCAATCCGAAGCCAGGAGCTTCTTCCGGGTCTCCCATGTAGGTGCAGGGGCCCAAGGACATGGGCCATCTTCTACTGCTTTCCCAGGCCTTAGCAGAGAACTGGATCAGAAGTGAAGCAACCAGCACTTGAACTGGCGCCCATATGGGATGCTGGTACTGCAGGTGGGGGCTTTTACGCCTGTGCCACAGCGCCTGCCCAGCCCCTTTGGTTTTGTTCTAGCTTGTTGGAATAGAAAGCTTATTGAAACATTTAGTATTAAAGAAGGTACAGAAACAATTTAGATTGGACTTCCAAGAATGACTCTGAAAGCCATGTCTCAGAATTGGCTATCCAGGATGAGAGCTGTGGTACAGGGGGTTATGCTGCCACTTTGAACGCTGGCATCCCCTTTTAGGATGATACTGGTCCTGATCCTGGCTGCTCCAGTTCTTATCCAGCTTCCTGTTAATATGTCTGGGAAAGCAGAAAGCAGCAGTTGATGACTCAAGTACTTGGTCCCCTACCACCCATGTGGGAGACCTGGGTCGAGTTCCCGACTCAGCCTGGCGCCTGACTCAGTTCCTGACTTCAGCCTGGTGCCACCCTGGCTGCTGTTGTCATGTGGGGAATGAATTAGTGGATGGAGATCTTTCTCCCTCTCTCTGTCATTCTGCCTTTTAAATATATAAATAAATAAATCTTAAAAAAAAATAAAAAGAAGTAGAAGAAGAACGGTCTGCCTAGGGATACCGCAGTCCTGCACGTGATGAGAGCAAAATTAGAAAGCTACCTCTAGAATTAGAAGTCTCCCATTCAAGGCAGGCATTGGTGCAACAGATTAATCCACCATTTGGGACACCCACATCTCACATTGAGTGCTTAAGAGTTTTGACTGCTCCACTTCCAATACATCTTCCTGCTAATGTTTGGGAGGCCAAAGATGGTGACCAATGCGATTAGTCCCATGCCACCCACATGGGAGACCTGGATGTAATTCCTGTTTGTCCCCTCTCTCTGTCACTCTGCCTTTCAACTATCTAACTAAACTAAACATAAAAACAAACGAACAAAAAACCCAGCACTCAACCTTTGTCTCCAAAACAGTTTCTGCTGTTATTGTTATGCCCATGGGCAGAGGTGTTTTTTGTTTGGTTGGTTGGTTGTTTTTTGCACCAAATCCATTTTCCCTTGCTAGTGCATCTATGTGCACCCTAAATTATAAACAGTCTTAAGATTCCAGACAAGGAAGTGTGGAGAATGTGGATTCTAACTCTTCAGTGTACACTAGAATGTTAAGATGTGCCAATCTAGATTCAGTTTGTTGTATTTTGGAGGCTGAAATTGTCCACCAGTGTGAGAAACCTTGAAGTAACCAAGATTGAATGTCAGGGGTTTAACTGCTCAGAGTCTTGTGTTCTTTATAGTAGTGGGTGTTTTTTAAGCTTGTTAGCCCCCCCTTCCCCCATATTTGTGAAAGTAATATGTAAATTTAGTACAAAACTTAATGTGAGGAACCTTCACAAACGTCATGGTAAATACATCTTGAAAAGTCTTCATGAATTTTAGAACTTTTTGGCACTAAAGTAAACTTTCCTTTTTTTATAAAAAAGCTTTAATTTATTTATTTGAAATGCTGAGTTAGAAAGGCAGAGGAAAAGAGATCTTCCATCCGCTGGTTCACTCCCCCAGTGTCTACAGCTTCCAGAGCTGAGCCGATTTGAAGCCAGGGGCCCAAGGACTTGGGCCATTTTCTGCTGCTTTCCCAGGCCATAGCAGAGAGCTGGATCGGAAGTGGAGCAGCCAGGACACGAACCATTTCCTATATGGGATGCCGGCACTGCAGGCGTCGACTTTACCTGCTACGCCACAGTGCCAACCCCGAACTTTCCTTTTAATACTATTTTCCCATAAACTTTTTGAAGAACACTAATACATATTGTATTTGCTTGTTTTAGATTTTGCAGCATTTTGAATTTTATTGATGCTCAATAAAAGTCTTCCCACATACTCCAAAATCTGAAAAACTCCTAAATCTGAAACACTTTTGGTCCAAGCATTTTAGATAAAGAATATTTAACCTGGTAATATTAAAACTGTTTTAGTGCTAACACTTCTCTGGCTGAATAAAAAATTTTTTAAAGATTTATTTATTTATTTGAAAGAGTTACACACACACACACACACACACACACACAGATGGATCTTCCATCTACTGGTTCACTCCCCAAAAATGACCCCAGTGGCTGAGGGTCTTTTGTGTGGATAGCAAAGACTCTAGCACTTGGGCTATCCTCCACTGCTTTTCCCAGGCCATCAGCAGGGAGCTGGATAGGAAGTGTAGCAGCCAGGACGTGAACCAGTACTCACATGGCCTTATTCCACCGTCCCCACTGCCAAAAAGTTTTGATTGTTGAACCAACCTGTGTTCTTGGCTATCAGTTGCACCTGGTCATGAAGTTTGTTTCTTTAATGCAGTACCAGATTTGATTCGCCAGTATATTTTTAGGGATTTTTCATCTTTTAAAAAAATCTGTTACACATTTACAATAAAAATGTTGTGTTTATTGTGTAAGACCTGTTCTGAAATGTGCACATATGTGAATAAGCAATATTGACCTTTAGTTTTTTCTGTATGTTTTTTTAGCAGATGTTTTCTTTAAATTTTTATTTATTTTTATTTTATTGGAAAGATGGGTGAGTGGTAAGAGGTCCGTATTCAAATACCTACAATAGCCAGTGATAGAGGAGGCTGAGACCACCGGCCAGGAATTCAGTGGGTGGCAGGGACCCAAGTACTTGAGCCATTGTCTGCTGCCTTCTAGCATGTGCATTAGCAGGAAGTTGGAATCAGAAGCAGAGCCAGGACTTGAGCCCAGGCACCCTGAAATGGGAGACAGCTGTCCCCAAGTGATGGCTTACTGCTGCATCAAACACCTACTTCAGTATCTTTGGTTTTGCAAATATTCCAAGTGAATGCTGGCTTTATAGAATTGAGTATGGAAGTCTTCACTTTTAACTAGTGTCTGGAACTGTTTGCATAGAATTATTCCTTAAATAGTAATGAAGTCATCTGTTTTCTTGGAAGGTTATTAAGCTATGAAGTAATTTTATTTAACAGATCTTTTGTTATCTCTTTATTGCGTGAGCTTTGGGAGTTTGTGTCTTCTAAAGGCTCTGTCCATTTTATCTTGTTTAGTTTATTGACAAAGTTGTTCATAATATGAGTTCATAATGTTATTATCCTTTTAATGTCTCTGGATGAATTTAGAGCTATGTCTGCTCTCTTATTCCCAATACTAATAATTTGTATCTTCCTTTTTTTCTGATTAGTCTGGCTGAGAGTTTATAGATTTTATTGAACCTAGCCAAGAGCTAGCTTTTGGCTTGATTGATTTTTTTCCCCTTCTATATTCTATTTCATTGATTTCTACTTATATCTTTATTATTTCCTTCCTTCACATTTTGTTGGACCTAATTGCTTTCCTTTTCCTACTATCTTCTCAAGGTTGAAGTTTTCACTTTTTATTGGAAACTTTCCTTCCAATGCAAGTATTTATTGGTAGTACACTTTGCCAATAAATTCAACCCTTTTTGGTCTGAAAATTTTTTACTGTCTCTTGGAAAGATATTTCATTCTTTACAGAATCTACTTTTTTTTCTTTTTGATACTTGTAAGCTGCTTCTCTATATCTTGTGTATATAGTTTTAGCTGAGGAGTTCCTGTGATGTAGTGCTGCTTTTTCTTGGTCTTCAGTTTTGTCTTTTGACTTTTATCATTTTTATTACTTCAGTGTACCGAAGTGTATTTTCTTTGTAATGATTCTGCTTGTTCTCTGAACTGTGTAACTGTGATTTATTGTTTTCTATTAATCTTGGGTAAATCTTAGCCATTTCTTTTTCTTTTAAAATTATTTATATGTTTATTTATATGAAAGATAAGACTTAGAGAGAGAGAGTGAGAAACAGAGAGAGTGAAATCTTCCATTTGCTGGTTCACTCCTCAAATGGCTGCAATGGCTAAGGCTAGGTGGACTGAAGCCAGGAGCCCAGAGTTTCATCTGGGTCTCCCATGTTGGTACAGGGGCCCAAGGACTTGGGCCATCTTTCTCTGCTTTCCCAGGTGTGTTAGCAGGGAGCTGGATTAGAAGTGGAACAGCCAGCACTGAAGATGGTAGCCTAACCCCCTGTGCCACAGTGTCAGCTCCAGTCATTTCTTTTCTTTTCCTTTTTTTTTATTATCTATTTTTGTCTCTTTTCTATTGACAGGCAGAATGAGACAGTGAAAGAGAGACAGAGAGAAAGGTATTCCTTCCATTGGTTCACCCTCCAAATGGCCAGTACGGCCAGCGTGCTGTGCCGATCCGAAGCCAGGAGCCAGGTGCTTCCTCCTGGTCTCCCATGTGGGTGCAGGGCCCAAGGACCTGGGCCATCCTCCACTGCACTCCCGGGCCACAGCAGAGAGCTGGACTGGAAGAGGAGCAACCAGGACAGAATCTGGCACCCCAACTTGGACTAGAACCTGGGGTGCTGGCACCGCAGGTAGAGGATTGGCCTAGTGAGCCATGGCGCCGGCCGCAGCCATTTCTTTTCTAGTATTTGTTAGCCCCCTTTCTGTGTAGAACTGCAATTATGCACATGATCTCTTAGTGTTGTCCCCTGGTTCATGGATGCTCCTTTTAATTTTCACTCATTTTTCTATTTTAGTTTGTATAATCTTCTGATATACTTAATTCTTATGCATTCACATCTTACTTTCTGTACTTAAAATCTCTCTCCTGCATGTTGTCCATCTTTTCAGCTAACAAGTTAACCACATTTATTGTAAAGATTGTCTTATATTTTCAGCATTTCCATTCATATTGGGGTTCTGTTGTATTAATTATTTCTTGACAATGAGACATTTGGCAGTGTTTTTTTGGGGTGTGTGTGTTATATTTTTTATTAGAAGCAGAATATCTTTGGTGAACAATACCAGAGATTGGGTTAGATAGTATTCATCCTCAGAAATGAGTGTGCTTCATCTGTTCTCAGGCAGTTTGTGTGAGGGCTTGAGCCTGTCTTGTCAGTTGTGACTGGTTTGGGTTTCACTGTTCTAGCTGTCTTCACTGCACCCATCTTCAGATATGGGAAGGCCAAGATCCTACATGTTGCCATGGTATATTTGAACCACATGGGCGCCTCCAAAGCCTGTATCCATGAATTCCCCTGTCCCCACACCCAACAACCTCACATCGTCCTGTAGGAACATTCTGCAAGAGCCAGGGGCACTTGACCCTCTTGTTCCTTCTTTGTCTCACGTCCATGGCCCCTGCTGGAACATTCTGTTCCTGAGTGCAGATCCCATGTGGCCCTGCATGGAGTTCAGTGTCCTCTTCCCCCAGGCTGTGAGTATCTGTGACTTAAAAACTGCAGGTATTGGGGCCAGCACTATGGCGCAGTGTGTTGTTTCCCTGGCCAGGGGCGCCGGCGTCCCATATGGTCACCGGTTGGAGACCTGGCTTCTCCACTTCTGATCCAGCTCTCTGCTGTGGCATGGGAGGGCAGTGGAGGATGACCCAGGTCCTTGGGCCCCTGTGCCCATGTGGGAGACCTGGAGGAAGCTCCGGGCTTCAGATCGGTGCAGCTCCGGCTACTGCGGCTGATTGTGGAGTGAGCCAGCGGATGGAAGACCTCTCCCTCTCTCTGTCTGCCTCTCTTCTCTCTGTGTAACTTTGGCTTTCAAATAAATGAGTAAATCTTTTTTTTTTTTTTTTAATTTTTTTTTTTAACAGGCAGAGTGGACAGTGAGAGAGAGAGACAGAGAGAAAGGTCTTCCTTTGCCGTTGGTTCACCCTCCAATGGCTGCCACGGCCGGTGTGCTGTGGCTGGCGCACCGCGCTGATCCGATGGCAGGAGCCAGGAGCCAGGTGCTTTTCCTGGTCTCCCATGGGGTGAAGGGCCTAAGCACCTGGGCCATCCTCCACTGCACTCCCTGGCCACAGCAGAGAGCTGGCCTGGAAGAGGGCCAACCGGGACAGAATCCGGCGCCCCAACCGGGACTAGAACCCGGTGTGCCGGCGCCGCTAGGCGGAGGATTAGCCTAGTGAGCCGCGGCGCCGGCCGAAATGAGTAAATCTTAAAAAAAAAAAAAAAACTGCAGGTATAGCCTCATGTTTGAGGTCAGGTGCCATGTCTTACATGTTGTGTGTTCAGCTGTTTTGTACTATCATGGGGCAATGGATCCCTCCCTCCCACTGGGTGAATAGGAGGGGATTTGTACACCACAGATTTCAAATTCTTACCTGTGTTTCATGTGGAACCTGGAATGCTGATGGATTTTTCTTTGAAGTATTCTGTTTGTACCTCAATAGATCTTATACTGCAAAAAAGTTCTCACAGAGCTCTTCATCCAGAACCAGTTTTTGCTTCCCATCTTGGCTTCAACAAAACAGATGCTTTGTGCACCACCTTCTCGATCTCTGCTTAATTCAGTTCTGAATTTAGGTCTTTACACACACATACATCAGAGTGGCAGAAATAAATCACAAGGGAGTCGTAGAAACACAGCATTTGGCTTTCTAGCCTTTGCAATGTGGGAAAGTGAACTGGATCTAGAACTAAGTTGGAAGGATACCCAGCGAGCCATAGTTGGGGTAGTGAGCCATTTGACTGAATATTTGAGCATAATGAAATGTATTACAGTGTATTAGATAACTGATAGAACCTCCAGGAGGGCTAGGGATCGGGGTTTAGCTGCTTCGAAATGAAGCCAGGATTGCAGCCTCAGCCTGTGCTGGCTCTTTTTTCGCAGAAATCCCTTCACAGCTCTATTGCCTCTTCCACCAGTCCTGCTTGGTTCCTGTTCTCCCTTGACTCTTGTCAATCAGAGTGACACTTGTCTTAGGCTTAAGAGAGCTGTGCTGCTGCTTACCAATTTTGTATTAGCTAGAGTACAAATGGAAAGAGCCCATCTCTCCTTCCACTCAAAGTGGTATACCAGATGTTCACTTAAATGTTTTGCCCTCCAAAAGGATCCTCCCCTCTTCCTTGTGCTTCAGAGCTACTTCTGCTTGGGGTTGAAATGCAGCAGCAGCACAATTCTGACTGATGCCGGTCTATCATGCAAAGTCATCCGTTGCATTCATATTTTTTTCCTTGTCAATGAATTTGCCTCATGGAAATCCCCTGAAGCCAGGAGAGGGTTGAGGGAGAAATGATACTGCAACAGTAGGCACACTGGAATCGTTAACCTCTGTCTTCCTGACTTAACCTCCTCTTCCTCAGAGAGCAGTGGTGCTGGGCACCGCTGGTTAACACCTTTTGGATTATATAAAATATGATTCTTAATGAAGCACAATTTACTGGTCACACGTTTTCTCAGGTTTCACTGAGGTAAATGCCCACTCTAGTGCTCATTTCTTAAAAAAAAAGAATAGGTGCTGAGAGCTCTTAGCTTGCTTATGAGCCCTAGGGGCCCGTGCTCTGACTGTCACTGGGAGTCTTGCTGGAGGCTCCTTACTCCATAATTCAGACACTTTCAATTAGGTGAATGTGCTGAATTTTAAAAAATTACTTGTTTTAGCTGCAGTTCATAGGCCACTCGCTGTGCTGATCTGGTCTTGTAAGCAGACTGCATATGAAACTACCAAAAGAGTTACTGCCCAGTTAAGCATAAAATAGTTAACCTTCTCTAAAATCCATTTTTTCTCTTCAGGCCAAACAGGTGAGTTGATGGGGCAGGTGATAGGCATGGCATGGATGTTGCTTACGTGGGTCACAAGCAGAGCCCTGACTGCAAGCTTAGTGGAAGGCAGAGGGCTGATTCACCCCGCGTACAGTCGGCTGCTGAGGCTTAAGGCTGTGTTGTCAATCATTCAGATCATCATAGTGCTTCTTGGATTACTGAACTTTTTCTATGGTTATGAGTTTCAAGACAAGAATCTCACGTGGCTGTTTCTGAATGCTTAACGAAAGCAGCAAAGGCAAGCTTCCCATTTTTCTAATAGGAAGCACACTTGGCTGTGTTCGTTATCAGAGATTTAGGTTTTTATTCTCTTTACAACAGAATAGGTCAAAATAGAATAGACTTGGAAAAGATGAGAAAAATATACCAGAGACCAAATGTCACCCAATTGTAGCTGGCATTTTTGGAGGTGAAAGTAACTCAGGCTGAAGCTATTTAAATATCATTTCTAAAATTGTGCTGCAGCCTTACCTGTAGCGCAAGAACTTTTCTAAGTAAGTTAAGAAATATTGTCAGTCATAAGGATCATGATTTTTAATAAAATGGGAAGTGAGAAATGGAAAGTGTTGTATTAGAGTCTCTTATTGAATGTAACTTTTTTGGGGTATCTTGATAAGAATTAGTTCATTTTTTCAAATGCCGCTTCTAGAAGGAATCTTTCAAAGGGATACTTGTTTTATTATTTGAATTTTCATTATATTGTTAAATGTTTTTTTTTCAGCTGCCTTGGAAATCATTGACTAGCATCATTGAATATTATTACATGTGGAAAACTACTGACAGATACGTGCAACAGGTGATTTTTTTCATGTTGCTACTCGTATGATACCATTACTGTGAACTTTCTATTTCTATTTTAATATTTCTTAGCAGTGTAGTAATTTTAAATGTTTTGTTTGCTTTATCTTTGACCATTTTGAAGCTACCTGATTTCGTATTTTAAAAATATTTTTAAAATCATCATCTTAATATTTCCTTGACTTCAGCATTCATTGTGACAGATAGTTTGGGAAGATGACAGGGAAGGATAGCTCTAGAGAGGCATCATTCCCCTTGCAAACGACACGTGCTTTATCCCTCTGTGAGTGTTGCTGATGAGAAGTACCAAAGGTGTGACAGCAGCACAAGCTTCTTGAACAAGTTATTTTTAATAAAGATTTGAACACTTACAGCATTGCCATCAGACATATAATTTGAGATAAAAGATCCTCTAACTAACTTTCATGACGCTGGTGTGATTATATCCCCTAAGTCTTTGACCTTAACTGTTGTAGTGTTACTAGTCTGATGTTTTAGTAATGTACATAAGATTGTTCTCAAATTTTCTCTACAAGTGGAGAATGATTTAATATTTGAGTCCTTCCCGAATGTCCTAAATTCATGCAACTTTGAATAGTATTGCCTTTGGGGAGAGGTACAGTTTCTGAAATGACATTAGCCAATGCTTGTTTTACATTCTTACCTTGCTCATGTGCCAGAACTCATTAAGTCAGAGACAGATATTTTAACAGAGACATTTTTTCGGAGTATGCAGGTTACCCAGTGTCAAATAATGGATGCTATAAAAATACATTTTAAGGATTACTTTTAAAAAGTACCATGATGAGTTTTTGAGGTTATAAATAGTGAATAGATGGCCTTGGCTTGTTGAGTCATTTCCAGAGTCAACATCATACAGAATTCAAAAGCATGATTGTTTCAAACTACTTACATAGAAATGAAGACCTTGGAGTCTGGAAACCTGTGTTACTCAAATCAACAAGCAACCATAAATGTGATGGAGATGATGGCCTCCTTGACAATATTTGTGAATTGTCAATACTTGACAGCTTGCATGACAATATGTCCAAAAATGTCAATGCAGGTTGTCCCCCTAAATGTTTTTGTTTCCTACTCTTTGGAAAAATGGAAGACAGCCTTATATTGTAGTTTGTGTTACTTTTGGACATTAACTGTGTTTTGCATTTGCTATTGCATTGCTCAGTGTCTGGATTTTATTATATAATCTCCTTCCCATTCCTTTTCCTGCGTTTAGTTCCTAATTGATACCAGTAAAAACTTAAATGAGTTCAGCCAAGATTTAAAGTTTACTGTAAATCTCCCAACATTTGAGAGTAGATGCTTATTTAATTCTGCTTAGAATAACTGCAAGCTCTTTTCTCCTACTTGGATTTTGGGAAATAATCATCTCTGAATATTCTTCTAAAAGTGAAGATTATATGTTATTTTCCTCCCAGAAAGGCAAGTAAGAAATAAAATAGAAGTTAAATTTGAAAAGTAAAAATGTTACTTTAAAAGTCCTGCTTATTCACTACTGGAGGAATGAGGAATTGAGGTGTTCATTGTGCTATTTTTAAAATCTGTGTCTAAAATGTTAATACTTCAGTTCCGTCTCAGAACTCAGTGACTTTTCTTACTGCAGTTGAAGAATATGCATATGAAAGAAAGCTTTTCTTGAAATAGCAATTTTTGAATTATGCCTTAATGTTTCTTTTCTTGTGTATTTTTAAAGACAATGAAGTGTTAATAATTATTTGGCATTACATATAAAACATTTTATCCATCTTTTGAAATAGAAACGTCTAAAAGCAGCAGAAGCTGAGAGTAAGCTGAAACAAGTGTATATCCCAACTTAGTAAGTAACAGAAATCTTAAAATATTTGTCATGATCTTCATAAAGCATGTCATTTTGTTCAGTGTCAGTCAAATTTGAATTTCTTTGTGTTCGTCATTTCTTCTATAAAGCATGTGACTTATTTTGTATTACATTACTACAAAGATGTTTTTAGACAAAGGAGCAAGGGAGAGAAACCCCAGATAAACTAACGCAAGAACCACAGGGAGAATGCCACAAACTGTACTTCTATTCAAAGCTACAGGGAAAGTATCAGAAAACTAATCTATGAAAGTCTATATCATTTGAAGCAATGTGTTTAAGAAATCCAGTGCTTTTGAAACCTTGCAGGGGTGGGAAGTCTTTTTCAACCAAGGGCCATTTGGATATTTGTAACAATATTCCAGAGCCATACAAAATGATAACTTGAAAACTGGCCTGCTACAGATATATTGAATTTTGAGTCTTGCCTGCAGTTGCCTTTGCAGGGCCAGACCAAATGATTTTGCTGGCTTTATACAGCCCTCAGGCTGGAATTTCCCCCCTCCTGAATGACAGAGTGGGTTTTGTTTGGATATCATGTATTGCCCTTATGAGGTTTGTTGTTGACATGATTGAGGATTTTACATTGTTTTCTTTATTCTAATACTATAAATTTTGATAATTTCAGGTGTCTGGCATTCTTTTATTATCCTGTGGGTTTCGAAACCATTGTCATATCACAATAAACACCAGTTTCCATATTTTGTGTCTTAAATGAATTATGCTCAATTGAGGTCTTCAGGATTTGAACATTCATTATTCAAAAACATTAGTTTATTGAATACCATGAATATATTGCTATAGTGAGATTAAAATGAAATTTATTACAAGTTTCCATGTGCTTCTCCAAGATTTCCCATTCTTTGAGCTAAGTACAGTTTTTTATACCTAACCATTTGTTTGCTGTCTTTCATTGTTTGCTGTTTTTGTGGACAGGAGACCTCACTGGCAATGAATTGTGATTTTCATATTAATCTTTTACATCATATAAATAACTGTTGTTTAATTTTTGAAGTATGTAATTTACAGAGTCCACCATTTGTATTTAGAACTGTAATGTTCCACCTGCAGAGTAATTTCTGATTTATTAAGAGCAACCTCTCCAGAAATAATGTTGCAACTTAGGTGTATTAGATTTTTCAAAAGCAAAAAGTCCAGTTTTCTTATACCTCACAGTGCTTGCACCACCAAAGGAAAAGTACACTTAACCAGGTTTAACCAGGTAATGCAGATCATTGTTCCTAGTCTGTTTTGAATTGACTTGGCAGTCTTGCTCCAGTCAGGGGCCTGCAAGCTATAGTCTGCAGACCAAATCTGACCTATTGCATGTTTTTGTAAGTAAAGTTCTATTGAAACACAGACATGGTCGTTCATTTATGTATTCTCTAACTCTGCTTTTATGCCACAATGGCAGAATTCAGTGCTTTTGACAGAAAACCTGAAATATTTACTATCTGCCCCTTACAGAAGAAGTTTTCCAAGCAAATGGTTTTGGGCATCAGGAATGGAAGAGTACTTCAGAAAGTGTATGGAAAATGGAATTAAAAGATGAGTTTATTTTTGTGCAAAAAATTTGAAGTTTATGCAGTTTTTAATAATGCATATTTTCCATGAACTTTTTAAAAATTAATTCATTTGAAAGGCAGAATTAGAGAGAGAATGAGAGACTCACAGAGAGAGGTCTTCCATCTATTGGTTCACTCCCCAAGTTTCTGTAAGGACCAGGTCAAAGTCAGGAGCCAGGAGCTTCATTGGGTCTCCCTTGTAGGTGCAGTGGTACAAGTACTTGGGCCATCTTCCACTGCTTTCCTAGGTACATTAGCAGGGAATTGGATCAGAAGTGAGGCAGCCAGGACTTGAGGGTAGCTTCATCTGCTATACCCCAGTGCTGCCTTCCTCCCTCCCCCGCCCCCACCCCCTTCCCCTTGAATGTTTTAAGGACTTTGCATATGTGTCAGTGATCATCAGGAGGATAAACCAGAGAGATGAAGTGTATGAAGTTCTCAAGGGAACCAGCAGAATAGGATCTGGTGTACAGATGAGAGGGGGTTTGGGTACTAGATAAAATAAAAGGTGATTTCTTACGATACATCCTTAAAAAGCATTTTTATATTTGTTTCACAAATTGCCCCAGTGAGACTGTTTGTCCTCCAGAACTAACCTGTGGGTCCTTGGTTTTACAGAGCATCTTCAGTGATGCACGTGTTCATACGCAGCATTGGTACACACTCCTTTTGTGATTATTAGCATCACTGCTTTATTCAGTCCAGTAGCATTCTAAAAAATTGGTATTTGCAGTCATTCTTTTTTTTCAGGCAATTCAATTGCAAATTTGCATGAGCTGGTTTTTTTGGTGTTTTTTTTTTTTTTTTTCAATATTTATTTATTTGAAAGTCCGAGTTACACAGAGGCGAGGCAGAGAGAGAGAGAGGTCTTCCATCCGATGGTTCACTCCCCAATTGGCCGCAACGGCTGGAGCTGTGCCGATCCGAAGCCAGGAGCCAAGAGCTTCTTCCAGGTCTCCCACATGGCTGCAGGGGCCCAAGGACTTGGGCCATCTTCTACTGCTTTCCCAGGCCATAGCAGAGAGCTGGATGGGAAGTGGAGCAGCCAGGTCTCGAACTGGCGCCCATATGGGATGCTGGCGCTGCAGGCCAGGGTGTTAACCCGCTGTGCCACAGTGCCGGACCCTTCATGAGCTGCTTTCAACACATATATTTAGCTTAAATGTCAGAAGTTTTCTCATTTCTGGGAATTCATAAGAGTGGACGTTTGGCCTAGTGATTAATACTCCAGTTAGGACACTCGCATCTCATGTTTGAGCTTGAGTCCTGGCTCTTCTCCCTATTTCAGCTTCCTGCTGATGCAGAGGCTGAGAGGCAGCAGGTGGATGGCTCTAGTAGTTGAATATTTGACACCCATGTCCAAGACCTGGTTTGGGATCCCGATCCTGACTTCAGCCTGTCCTATCCTTGGCCATTACAAGCATTTGAGAAGTGAAGCATAGATGGGAGCACTCTCACTCTCTGTTTCTCTATAAAGAAGTAGATAGGTAGGTAGGTAGGTAGGTAGACTTGTTCTCTGGGAAGTTTGCCTGTAGGCTTCTGATAGCTGTCTCTTTTTCCTCCTAAAAATATTTTTTTTAAATGGTTTTTCTATTTTCAAGTACAATGTACTCTTCCTCATAAAAATTCAAACATAATAGAAATAATTATCCTGAGCATTCAGAAGCTCCTGGAATCCTAACTTAGCTCTGGAGATAAGCACCACTGGACGGTGCAGTGTCTCTGTTGCACCCGTCACTTTTGTGCAGGTCCCTGGAGGGCAAGTGTGTAGACTCAGCAGCTCTCACACGAGCAGCAGGAATGGGACAGTGATAACAACAATGTTACCTTTAATCTAGGATTAATTTTGATCCAAAAAATTTGTTTTTCTCAGGAGAATTTATTCTAAGTGATGAAACTTAATAACGTGTCGTTCAAAAGCATCACAGGATGTTCTAAGGAAGCTATGTTGGTTGGAGAAGAGATATGGCCACATTTACTTTGTGAATATCAGCCATAAGAGATTCAGCTTTGTTTTGTCAAGATGAGTGCTTTAGATCCATTTTAACACCTTGTGTTAACACGAGGGTTTTTATCCTTCGATGTTTTGGAGTTTATGTTAATGATGAATCAGTAATGAGATGTAAAGTTTTTTGCCTTGTTTAAAAAATCATTTTTATTACCTCACTGCACGTTTCATGGAAGCAGCAAACCAAATCCCAACCAAATATCCACCAGCAATGGCAAGCCCGGGCCTGTGAATGGAGCAGTGGGGACTACATTCCAGCCCCAGAATCCTCTCTTAGGGCGAGCCTGTGAGAGCTGCTTTGGTAAGTGTTTCCCCCCAGGGTGTCCTTTCTTTTGGTGGCTGTAGGTGGGGCAGGAGCTTGCAGTCTGTGGTGCGCAGAGAGCATCGAGCAGATGCCTTTCCTTACCTTCTGCCTGGACGTAGGGCAGTCACTGAGTGCTTGCTAGGTGCACAGCCCAGCTAGGCCTCAAGGTTCCTGTGATTGCTTCTCCGGGCCCCCTCGTCTGTTGAGCTTCTGATGGCAGTATCTGCCAGCCTTTGTTCAGAGTTGTACTGGCTTCACCCAAATCATGGTTCGTGATACATACCAGATCCCCTCTGGGGCTTCTCGGTATACTTGGGAAAATGAAAGGCAACAGCTGAATCTGAAGGGAATACCTGTGTGGACAAACTGCTATGTATAACCCTCAGATCCAGTCCCTCCAGGCACTGTGTTGGGAGACATTGTTTTGTGATAGTTGCTTCTGGCCCCAAGGCCCTGCGGTATTTATGCTGGCACAGATAGTATGATGTTATATTATGCTGCTTGCCTGGGTGTTAAGTGGGCTTGGACAGAATACTACATATTTGGTAGTTGATACAACTTTATACATTTATTTAATATCTTAAGCAACAGTATAATCTCTTGATGGGGACATTGGTGACATTATAATTTCTTTTTCTTTCTAATCATGGAGGCTGGGGTAAGAAAGGAAAGGAAATGAATGTTATTGAATGTTCACTTGGTGAAGCTGGGGAGTCTGAGCAGCTCTCTGGGGGGGTAGAAGTAGCCTACTGCCTTAAAGATGGAGGCATGAGGGACATTTGTGACCCCGCCGCATACTCTGCTTTAGAGAAGGCAGTGACAGCCAAGTCGTGTAATCAGTCATCTCTCAGATCCCAAGCAAAATGTGAACCAGACAGATTGCTGGCTTCCTAGGTAGGAATGGCACATGTAGGGATGGTCTGCACTGTAGGGACAAGGAGGGAAGCAATCTGTGGACAGCTAGAGTCTTTTGGTCAAAACTTTACATAGATAGCAATGTCAGCATCTTGGACTTGAGAATGCTCAGATTTTGAAGTTCATGTATATTTAAATGAAATAAAAAGAATTCTGGCAAATGATAGTGACTTAATCTTTTATTTTTTATTATTATTATTATTATTTTATTTGACAGGTAGAGTTATAGACAGAGAGAGGGAGAGAGAGAGAGAGAGAAAGGTCTTCCTTCTGTTGGTTCACAACCCAAATGGCCGCTACGGCCGGCACTGCACCAATCCGAAGCCAGGAGCCAGGTGCTTCTTCCTGGTGTCCCATGTGGGTGCAGGGGCCCAAGCACTTGGGCCATCCTCCACTGCCCTCTTGGACCACAGCAGAGAGCTGGACTGGATAGGAGCAACCAAGACTAGAACCCGAAACCCATATGGGATGCCGGTGCCACAGGTGGGGGATTAGCCAAGTGAGCCATGGTGCCGGCCCCTGTTTGTTTGTTTATTAAAGATTTATTTATTTATTTGAAAGTTAGAGTTATACAGAAAGAGAGCTTTTCCACCCAATGGTTCAATCCCCAAATGGCCACAACGGCTGGAGCTGCGCTGATCCAAAGCCAGGGGCCCAAGGACTTGGGCCATCCTCCACTGCCTTCCCGGGCCACAGCAGAGAGCTGGACTGGAAGAGGAGCAACCGGGACAGAATCCAGCACCCCAACCAGGACTAGAACTCTGGGTACCAGCGCCGTAGGCAGAGGATTAGCCTAGTGAGCCGCGGCGCCGTCCTGCAGTTGGCATCTTAATATACACAGTTTGAGTATTGTGATCTGAAGAAGATGACTTATTACAGATCAGAAAAGAATGTGCCAAGGCAGATTTATAGCACTAGAATCATTTTCCTGCTCCTCTTCGACCTAATGTTGAAACATCAATGTTTTCTGTCTTAAACTTCATATCCATCCTAGATATACAGGTTTCTTAAATGTTAACATGGCATAATTTAAATTGCAAGATAAAATTTACACAGACTTGCAGTGTTGTTCAGCCATGTGATAAGTCAACATGTTTGGGTCTTAAACTCATGTTGTGTGTACTCATTTGATACAGATTTATAGTTTTGAACAAGAATCTGTTTTTAGAAGGAGAAATCATAACATAAGGATTTTATCTATTGATTAAAATAAAGGGTTGGAAAACAGAGACCTGTTTCTGTTAGGTTCCTAACCTTCTCAGTGGGGCCTTTCTGAGTACCTTAAATAAACCCAAGCATGGTTTATGAACCGTAGGCTTATAAACTGTGACTTAGGTTTTAAGCACTAGTAATAAACACATTATCTTTCTGAGAACTTATTCCAGAAATGTACACCAAAAAATATTTGAATTAGTGAAGTAAAAAACTCCCTCAGAAGCACAATGCAAAATATAGGATCCCTCACCTAATAGTCTCTCTCTCTCTGTCTCTCTCTAAGATTTATTTTATTTATTTGAAAGACAGAGTTACAGAGAGAGGTTGAGACAGAGAGGGCTTCTACCCACTGGTTCACTCCCCTATTGGCTGTAACGGCCGGAGCTGCGCCGATCCAAACCCAGGAGCAGGAACTTCTTCTGGAGCTCCCACGTGGGTGCAGGGGCCCAAGGATTTGGGCCATCTTCTGCTGCTTTCCCAGGGCACAGCAGAGAGCTGGAATAGAAGTGGAGCAGCTGGGACTAGAGCCGGTGTCCGTATGGGATGCCGGTGCTTCAGGCCAGGGTGTTAACCCGCTGCACCACAGCGCCAGCAGCCTTTTTTTTTTTTTTTTTTAAGATTGATTTATTTATTTATTTGAAAGGCAGAGTTAAAGAGAGGCAAAAGCAGAGAGAGAGAGAGAGAGAGAGAGGGAGAGAGGTCTTTCACCTGCTGGTTCACTCCCCAAATGGCTGCAATGGCTAGAGCTAGGCTGGTCCGAAGCCAGGAGCCTGAATATTCCACATGGGTGCAGGGGCCCAAGGACTTGGGCCATCTTCTGCCGCTTTCCCAGGCGCATTCATAGGGAGCTGGATTGGAAGTGGAGCAGTCATGACTTGAACCGGTGTCCATATGGGATGCTGATACTTAGATACTGTACATACCCACTATGCCACAGCAGCGGCCCCTAATAGCCTCTCTTAATATGCGCCACAAGTGCTTGATTTATAATAAGGATAAATGATTTAATGAAAGATACATGTGTATGTGTTGTACTTTCATACTTGGCTTATAAGTTAGGGGAAGAAAAATAATCCTATAAACTGAAAATGGCTTTGGGATGTTTTTGAAATATTTGATTATATTTACACTGATGTTACAAATTACATGGCATCCTTTTTTTTTTTTTTTCCTCTTATTTTTCTCTCATCTGTAGCTACACAGTCTCACCAGTGGTATTCTTGGGGCCCACCTAACATGCAGTGTAGATTGTGTGCAACTTGTTGGCTTTATTGGAAAAAATATGGAGGCCTGAAAATGCCCACCCAGTCAGAAGAAGAGAAGCTATCTCCCAGCCCAACCTCAGAGGTACACGAGCAGCAGTGGGTTCTAGTGTTGAAAATGTCATGCTTTTCAGTGATCAGATCATTCCCTGGAAGCAGAAATAAAATACAGGATAATGTCATAATGAGCAAAGCTGTTTTCATAACTGAACATAGCACTACTATATTCAGGGTGGGTGTGGAAAGAAGAGCAGGAAAAAATAATTTTCTCCCCAGGGATTCAAAATAATGGTCTTGGGAGATTACTCAGACAAAAGAATACTGTATGTGGGAGGTGTCAACACAACCAGAGAGTTTACAAATTAAATGTTTATTTTAACTGCTTTTGAAAACAGTGTGTAATCTTTAGATACTATTAAGCATGTCTTATTACATAAAGTAATAAATGTAAATTAAGCATTTTCTTCCTCCCTGGTCTATTGTGGAGGGACAATAAGAAATGGACTCAGTTTATCAACAATAGTTGATGCATGATTTTATAAAATCCTTCTGGATTGAAGATGTTAAGCCTGTGTCTACCAGAGGGCACCTGTTGTTGTCCAATGCTCACAGAGTCTCAGCACTCCTTGATATTAAAAAACAAAACTAAGCAAGCCTCGCTCCCTTGGCAACATGTGATTTTGGTTTGTTGCACAAAAGTACAGAATTGTACCCCCAACCCCATTCCCTTCTCTGCTCCCCACCTCCTTCCCCAGTGTGCACACTTTCCAATTCTGTCTCATAGGGGTGGAATAGTAAGTTACAGAAACTGTGGCGGGAGCTTTGAAAATTGTGCTGTTTTTAGAGCATGATGTAAACAGTAATGTCTTTGCCGAGCTCTGCTAACGTTTGTTGGTTTCTGACTTGGCAGGACCCCCGCGTCAGAAGTCACATGTCCCGCCAGGCCACACAGGGCATGCCAGTCCGGAACACTGGCAGTCCCAAGTCCGCAGTGAAGACGCGCCAAGCTTTCTTCCTTCATACTACGTATTTCACAAAGTTTGCACGTCAGGTCTGCAAAAACACTCTCCGGTTGCGGCAGGCAGCAAGACGGCCATTTGTTGCTATTAATTATGCTGCCATTAGGGCAGAATGTAAGACGTTTTTAAATTCTTAACCTCATGTGTTGTGCTTCCGACCATCCTCTCTTTCCCTCTCTTTCTCTGTGTTTTTCCCCCCTTTTGGTTTGTTTGTTTGCAATAAACATAAGTTCTTGTGTACAGCCTTTTATTTGGTTTTTTTTTTTTAACATTGTTTTTGTCTGCTACCATTTGTATCATGCCAACCTGGGTTGGAGGGAACATTGAAACTTGTATAAATATTTATCAGACAGTAGTATTCATCAAAAGGATGGTGGGAGGTGATCCTATCCATGGAGTTTTGTGAAGGAATTGCTTAAAGAACCCTTATGAAACACTTGAACCTATTAGGTAGTGCCACAGTAGAACCCCTAAGGATGGGTGTTATAATGAAACTGTATGAGGCAGCACAGGCCAGACTTTAAATGGATCCATTAGATTTAAATAAAATTTAGCAGTACACTAACATGATGGAAGTTCACAGTACCTCATAGCAAACATTATATTTATTAGAAGCTTTAGCAAATTACAAATTTTAAAATCATTTTGGGTGATTTTCTGAAAATACACATTGAACTCTTATAAGCAAGCATCTAAATTTGTGGTTAAGCAGTCTATTTGTGTAATTTGTTTTCCATTTCATAATCATGTATCATGCATATCACCGTATAACATTTACATGACTTATCACTCTTATTTTCAACATTTTCAGTCTTGCTTGTTTCATTTTGTTAGAACAAAGGCCATCTATACCAGTGAATTGAGTTGTTCTGTTATTAGCACATATCTGAAAAATATGTACGTACTTTGTGTGTTAGCTCTGGAGTCCCATTTCTGGCTGATATTTTAGGGCCAGGCAGCTTCTTTCCCTGAAGTGCTAGAGAGCTTGCTGTTTGGATAGACAGGAAAGTTAGACGTTCAGATGCTTTCTCTTATTTATCTGATTTTGAGTTGCCCCACTTTGATTCACAGTGGATATCCTTAGAAGGAGTGATGACTGAAAGCATTTTTGGTATTTTTTTTTCTTTTTTTCTGAAGCTAATTTTTAGTAGAACAGTCAGAAAGTAAAACAGGTAAAAGCTCAGTAATAGAAGAAAATTAGATACAAAGATATTTGAGAATTTATCCTTAGATTTAGGTTCTGTGCTAGCAGTTCTGACTGCATGGACTTACATTACCACTTTCTTACCCATTTTGAGGAACTGGGAACAAATATTTTCATCCAATTTGTTGATTTAAAACACATACATTTATATATAATTTCTTAAATAAAAATAATAATAAAGCATTTGAGAATGAATATGAATGAAATTCTTCCATTAAAATTGACCTGAGTCCGGTATCATCTTTGTTCCTATGAATGGAAAAGAAACCATCACTACTGTAACTGGCTGCTGAGGAAGCCTCTGTCTCCTGTGGTTCTTTGACGTTCACTTCCTTTGCACATTGTCTTCATTTTGACCCTTCTTCAGCAAAGTATGTTTTTCTGTCACCTCATTCTGATTTTTTCTGTTGAAAGACTGAAACATAGATCAAGATTAAATTGTGTTTTATTTCTACAAATATATAGAAAATAATAATAGAATCATTTGTAGTGAAGAGATTCAAAAAGCATATACTGTTTTATTTGGTATTGATCTTCATTGGTCATAGAGAATCTGGTTCCTAGAATAATTAATTTTACCTTAAAAGTTAAAATTAACAGTGTTTCAGTTGCCATCTACTCTTTTTTTCCAGACAAGCAACTAATTAATTCTTTTCCTAGCCTCTGAATCTCATCCTATCTTCACTCTTCTTTGATGCACACTGTTACCTGTTTGTCAGTTTCCTTAATCTTGGCTTGTTATTTTTTTTTTATTGAAGATTTATTTATTAACTTGAAAGTCAGAATTACACAGAGAGAGAAGGAGAGGCAGAGAGAGAGACAGAGGTGTTCCATCTGCTGGTTCACTTCCCAAATGGCCGCAACGGCAGGAGCTGCGCCAATCTGAAGCCAGGAGCCAGGAGCTTCTTCCTGGTCTCCCATGCGGGTACAGGGGCCCAAGCACTTGGGCCATCTTCTGCTTTCCCAGGCCACAGCAGAGAGCTTGACTGGAAGAGGAGCAGCTGGGAGTAGAACCAGTATCCATATGGGATGCTGGTGCCACAGGCAGAGGATTAACCTACTGCGCCATGGTGCTGGCCCCAATCTTAGCTTGTTATGGAGATGAGGTTTTAAGGCCCTAATATCCATAGGCAGCTGTGCATTTTAGGTAGCTGGTTTTTGGTTTTGTTTTTTTCCAGATGAGCATTCCTTGGTTTTTTAGAGACAGTGTTGACACTCTACTTCCAATACTCCAGTAAAATTAAGATCGTACTTCCAAATCAGATGGAAGTCTAATTCTAAAAATATTAATAGGCCAAGAGTTGTCATTCATTAATCTTTAGAATCACACATCGTTGTGTTGGGAAAGGAGTGTCGTTTTTCTTGTGAGCACCCTGAAGTTGACCCCTTTCCATGGCTTCTGGAGTTGGCAGTGTCATGACATCCAGCGTCACAGCCAGAGTTTATGAGTGAAGAAGTTTATGAGTTTAAGAGTGAAGAAGTGGCAAGCTAGGGAGGTGGACTCTGATGTAGCTACAGGGAGCGTCATCCCAACTACGTGTCCTTGATTTACAAAGGAAACTTTTGGATTGGGCATAGCAACACTCTTTGACCTTTATTTTCATCAACAAGTCTGTACTTAAAGACATGTAGTAAAAAGGATAATCTTGGCAAGAAATAGTGACATCTGTGGGAAGGGAAATTGGGAGGTGAGGGAGAAGGGTGATGAGATTTATCACTGTTCTTTAAAATTTTTCTGTTTGAACCGTGGGTGTATGTTTCCTGTTTAAGAAAATAACTGAAAGACTGAAGTACATAGTATGACCAATGTATGTTTAAGATGTGATAAATATATGAAAAGTATTTTTAAAACAATTTTCCCAAATGCTTATTTATTTAAATAACATGCATTTATGTGTGTTGTATGCTCATGCCAAAAATTACCAACCCCAGTGAAGTGTCCTGGCCTGTTCCACCATGTAGACAGTGCTTACTTTAAAATGGGTTGCTGGGCCAAAATGCAGAACATTGCATAAAGCCAAGTACCATGTCCTTGACAAGGCTGAGATCCCAAATAGTACAGTTCTAACGACATCAAGTTTAGACGTCTTGTCTCTTCCGCATGCTCCTCACCCCAGGAACAAAGCTGTGAGGGGATAACAGTGCTCTCCTTTCTTAATGCCACCAGACACAACCTCACAGTTTTCCAGTGAGCAGTTTTCCAGATTGTGACTGTAGATTCAGGAGTCTCAGAGACTAAGCTTAAATAAGAAGTCATATTAGCAGGATTCCATTGATAAAACTCAAGTTCATAAAAACGTAGATACAGTGATAGCCTGGCACCTATAATAGACCCCTTAATTAAGGGGTCTCTGAACGAACACCATTCGCCAGCAGCAGCTGTGTTTCCCTCTGCAGAGTTGCCAGGCACTCAGCCATCTTTCTGTGTGAAGATGCTAACGCAAATTTGGTAGTATCCCAAGATCTATTTCATGAGAAATTTGTTACCTATTTTATAGTTTGGCGACTTCTCATCAAAAGTTATTAATAGTTGCATATACTTTGCTAAAATTTTAAGCTCGAAACATTAAAAGAGAACAGTTTTCGTTTATTTTGGTGTTTTTGTTTACTTTTAATAACAATTTGCTTTTGAAAGGATACTTTGAATGTATTTAAAGGTATGGAAGTGGTTACACATCTCATCACCTTTCCCGTTCCTGATTTACCGTTCTCAGAAGTCACCATCGTCATCATTGTCTTAATTATCCACAGGTAGTCTGTGTGTTTCTAGACAGGTGTACCCTTGGTTTTTGTAAAGATGTTAACATATTGTGTACCTTGTTCTGCACCATAATTTAACCTGCTCCCTATTTAATTTTTTTAGGTTATTTCAATTCTAAAAATACTGCAAAAGCATATGCAGATGTCATTTCATACTGTCTGTAAGGTTTCTTTCTGGGAGAGCTGGGTCAAGGGACATGTGTTTTGAACTTCTGCAGTCATTCCTCGGCTGTGCTCAGGAGAGCTGCGGTTTGTGCTCATGTCCACTGTGTCTGGACAATGCCCACTTCCCTAGGGCCTCGCCAGCAGTGTTGGCCATCTTTGGTAGTTTGCATTTATCATTTTGAATGAGTTAGAAGTCTTTGCATATATTTGAAAGCCGTTTGTATTTCCTTTCCTGTTAACTGTTTTTGCCTCTGGCCTGTTCCCTCTTGTATGGAAATCTTACTGACTTAGGGGAATTTTTAATGTTTTAATGAAGTTAGTTTTTTTATCTTTTAAAAAATTTTATTTGTTTGAGGGGCAGAGAGATGGAGCTCTCGTTCTCTGGTTCACCCCCCAAATGCCAGGATGTTGCTGGGAACTGGAAACTTAAGCCAGGTCTCCGGGGGTGGCAGGGGCCCAGATACTTGATCCATAACCTGCTACTTCCCAGGGTGCTCATCAGCAGGAAGCTGGAATTGAGAGTCAAGTCAGGTCTCCAGCGTAGGCACTCCTACATGGGACACCAGCATTTCAGGTGGCATCTGACCACTACACCAAATGCCCACTCCTAATGAAGTTGGCTCTTGAACTGTGATACAAATATCTCCCATGTTTTGTATTTGACTTTATGATGTATTTTCAAAGCAGGTTTGGTGTGTTTTTTTTTTTTTTTTTTTGAAATATTTACTCTATCTATTTGATAGGCAGAGTTAGAGAGAGGGAGAGACAGATCGTCCATCCAGTTTTCACTCCCCAGATGGCTGCATCAGCGAAGGCTGGGACACAATGAAGCCAGGAACCTGGAACTCCATCTGGGTCTCCCATATGGTTGGTAGGGGCCCAAGTGCTTAGGCCATCTTCTGCTGCTTTCCCACATGCATTAGCACGGGGACTGCATCAGAAGTGGAGCAGTCAGGACGTGAACCAGGGCCCATGTCGGATACTGGCATTGCAGGTGATGGCTCTACTTGCTACACGACAATGCTGGCCTTGCAGAAGAACAAAAACAAAAATACAGTTTATCAAAACAGTTTCATCGTACATGGGTTTTGTGTCTTGTTTAGTTTGTTTTGTGTATGTATGTATGTGTGTGTGTCTTGTTTAGTTCTGAAAACAAATTCTGATGGTTTTATTTTGGCAGGGATCTTGAAAACCCATGTTAAATATTTTTATGAATTTTAATTCATTGGGTACATTTTAACAGTTTTTCTATCTCGCCCTACCCCCAGTATTTCCAAAACATTGCAGAAAAACAGCTATGAGCTTAAAAAAAAAAGTGACATTGTTTTTCCAGGTTTACCTCCTCTAGGAAGCCAAAGAAATGTGTCTTGTGCCCAGTCAGGTGACTCACTGGGATACAGATGTTTTCCCTCTCTCTTGGCAGGTTTTGATTCCCTCTGGGCCCTTCAGGCATTTCTCTGGTGGCTTTCTGAATCAGTGCCTTCTTAATGCCTATCTTTCTGTTGGAGTAGCGTCAAGTGGGTGGTGGGGAGCAAGGACTGACTGACAGACCAGTGGCAGCGCAGGTCAGAGTGTTGAACACGGACCAGATCATCTGCTGCTGATGGGCCTTGCCTCTGGCAGATGTGCTCCTCCTGCTGAGTGGCTGCACTTATCCTTGTGTTGAACAGTGAGTAGGTATTTCTGAGCACCTTGCATTCCATTCTCTTTCTAGTTGAGGCTGATAGTTATTGCCACCAACTACTCTCTTTAAAAATACAGTGAGTATCAGTGAGTGGTGGGTCTTTCTCAAGAGCTCTGATCTCAGCTCAGACATGCCCAATAATGTGAATTTTCACTTGGAACATCTCATCATTAATCCTACTGATTGCATGAGAAATTAGAAGCAAAATTAGGATGGGATAACATGAGATATCTTTAAGGGGTATTATGTGGATGACCCTTTTGATGAGTTTGTTGGTTCTTGTCAAAGTGGTGGTTATTGCCGCAGGGTTGGTCATTGGAGCCATTCTGGTTCTTTCTCTTTGGGCCTTACAGACTGGAATCAAGAGCAGAGTTAACCTTATTACTAAGAATACAGCAACTGCCTTTGTCCTAGTCCTTAAGAAAATAACCAACATTATTCACTCAAGCTTTATTAATGGAGAAGAAAAAATGTTCTCTTGTCCTTATCCAAATAGAACTTGAATTTTAGCTGAAATAGTAATATTAGGAAGAAACTAGATAGCATTAACTCAGAGATCTGACAAGCGTTTGATCATTGCAGTGTTGGACTTGCTTCCTCATGTTTGTTTATATTATTTCTCCAAAAGGTGCTTACTATATTTCTGCCCCTCTCTTTGCTGTTATTCAGTAACAGGTGAAAAATATCATAACATTAGTAATTTCCCCGAAGGGAATCGGTTGAAAAGGAGGAAAAGAAATCAAGTCATTTGTAGTTGTCAGTGGTTGCATAATTAACCAGTGTTTGGGGTACATAGATTACTGTTGTTTGTGTGTTGTCTGTTTTTAATTTTTAATGCAATTTTCCCATCTTCTATCTAGTAGTTTTTAAAGAAGGAATTACCATATGAAAAAGAGGGCTAGACTTTGTGAAAAATGTTTTATTTTAAGTTATTTGAAGGTCTAAATTAAATTGTACATTTTAACACTGGTGGCACAGTGCATTCCTCTGAGGGTCAAAGGAAATTTTCTGCATGTATGTTTGGAAATGTGCTCTTGGCTTGCAAAGGGGAAAATTTTGTAGTAGAATAAACTCACAGATAGATAAAAGGCATAAGCTTAGTAGAATCATATCAGCTAAAGATACTCTGTTAAGCTTTAATCTTTAATTCCGTGAATTAAAAGAAAAAAAATTTTTTTGGTCCCTTCAGACTCTTTCTATGGTTTAACTGTTTGGGGAGAGAGGCAGCCGTGTTCTGTATCTACTCCTCCATCCAGTGATAGCTGATTAAAAGTGCTTGCATTATCTGCTTTCCCTCTGTCTGAAGTGTCTTTTTTTTTTTTTTTCTGAAGTGTCTTATGATAGACTATGAGGAGTGATGAAAATCACACTTTATGAACTAATATCCATCCTCAGAGTATCTTACTCTTCTGACTGTTGGATGAAACCCTCTGTCTGCATATGGATAACCTTAAAATCTCATTAATGCCGTCACAGTAGGAGATGAGGGATGGAGATCCAGTGTGGAAACCAAATGGCCTTTGCAGGGATCTAATGGGATTGGGTATTGCCGAGATGGGTGAAAACTTCTCAGTGGGGACTCCCTCCATGACGTCAGGGATTGCTGCGTGTGTGGCCCTTGTCAGCTGTCATTCTTATTGCCCAAGCCAGATTAATCTTATGTTACAGACTGATTCTGACTTGTAGTTTATGGATATTTTCTCACCGTAATGTAGAAATGCTGAAGCCAGTTAGGAAGCCGATCTCTGTTGCCTTTCAGATGAGTACACACAGAAAGACTACATGTGTGTGAGGTGTGTAATAGCTACACACACAATGTGCCTTTGAGGTGAGTGTCCTTCATATAAAGCCCTCATTCAGTAATTGGGAGCCTGGAGTAGGCATGATTTTCTCAAATCCAAAAGGAAATGATGCAGAAATCTGGTGGATATTTTGCATTGTTTTCCACTTGAACCTTTATATTTCTGCAGTGTGTGTGGTGTAGGTAGAAAATCCACCTCACTGGTTGTCTCCGTGTTTCTTTCTCTCCTCAGATGCAGACAGACATGCTGAACTATCTGGAAGTCCCCTGAAAAGCAAAAGCACTAGGAAACCTTTGGCATGTATCATTGGGTATTTAGGTGGGTATTTTCTAATAGAGGAAAACTCAAAAAAAACTTCTGTGTGGTATAGAAATTTGGCCATTCTAAATGGACATACCTAAACTAAATTCATATATTTCAAAGGGTTGGGTTGAAATTGGGTACTTTTATATCTGTAGTCAGTTTGTTTTGGAAATTTTTATTTTTATTACCAATATACCTACTCACACAGTTCCGGAGATATGATTACTTTTTCAAGAAAAATCATTGAGTAAAATATGTACTCACAGAAATAAATTCAAATAAAAAAAGGAAAATAAAAATCATTTAATTATTAGAGATTGAATATTTGCAGTATTTTTATTTAAATATTTCCACTATTTCTTTTTTTAATGATTTATTTTATTTATTTGAAAGAGTTATTTCCACTATTTCTAACCCACCTCATTCACATTTGCTTTTATTTATTTATTTATGAGATTTATTTATTTGAAAGGCAGAGTTACAGAGACAGGAGAGGCAGAGAGAGAGAATTTCCATCCATCCACTGATATACTCCCCAGATGGCCACAATAACCAGGGCCAGACCAAGAGCCAGGAGCTTCATCCAGGTCTCCTATGTGGGTACAGGGACTTTGTCTTCTACTGTGTTTCCCATGCCATTAGCAGGGAGCTGGATCATAAGTGGAGCAGCTGGTGTCACAGATGGTGGCTTAATCCACTATGCCACAACGCTGGTCCTCCACCTCTCCCTTTAAATAAAGAACTAGCCGGCGCCGCGGCTCACTAGGCTAATCCTCCACCTTGCAGCGCCGGCACACCGGGTTCTAGTCCCGGTCGGGGTGCCAGATTCTGTCCCGGTTGCCCCTCTTCCAGGCCAGCTCTCTGCTGTGGCCCAGCAGTGCAGTGGAGGATGGCCCAAGTGCTTGGGCCCTGCACTCCATGGGAGACCAGGAGAAGCACCTGGCTCCTGCCATCGGATCAGTGCAGTGCACCGGCTGCGGCGGCCATTGGAGGGTGAACCAACGGCAAAGGAAGACCTTTCTCTCTGTCTCTCTCACTGTCCACTCTGCCTGTCAAAAAAGAAAGAGAGAGAGAGAACTGGTTTATTTAGTCTCATAAAAATGTGAAATCAAACTAATTTTTTATCTATATTAAAATATTTGCAGTTTTGATGTGCCAATTAAGGTTGCTTTGAAAGAGAAGCATTTATATTATTTTCTAGTTTCATCATGCTGTCTTAACTTGGAAATCTCCAAAGATGATGGCTTGATTTAATGTTGAAATCCCACAATTAAGAATACCATAAAAATTGCTGAACGATGACCTCTTTTTTTCAAAATGTTAAGATAAACAATTTACACAATAATGGTTCTTCATAATGCCTAGAAGCAAAAATGGCATGTTTTCGTGCTTCTAATATTTATTTTTCATTTTCTCAATAAAAGTGAAATATGTACTGTGAGTTGCTTCGAACCTTATTGCTCTGTCAGAAAGATTTATAGGTATATAGTGTTCAGAATTTGGACATTCAATCTTAGAGATCAAAGTATAGCCTTGAACTTGGTGTATTACCTGGTCCTTGTCGGTGTCCTGAGAATCTAAACCTCACAGCTCCCTTGATGTTACTCCTGCAAGCTTATTTCTTGTTGGTTTTTGAGAGGATGAAGAGTTGCTTTGATATCTTCCAAAACATCAACGTGGTTATCATAGGCATGACCTAGATCATAATGATAATCTCCTTGAAGATTTCTGCCTTCTATTCATAAGCAAGACCAACTCCTGGAAGCCCCTCCCCACCTTACAGGGTGAAGTTCTGATCATAAAAATTAGAATGTAATAACATTGCCTTGTTGACCTTTCTGTAGTAGTAGTGAGTTTTTACTGTGAGTGAGTTAGCTTCTGTCCGTACAAGGTAAGCCCCACGAACTGCATCCCTGCACAACGTATTTCTGAGTATTTACTGTGATCGAGACACTAGTAATTGATTTCGGAAACAATTGCATGAATAAAATGTTGCTCTCAAAAATCTTAGCCTACTGGGGAGAAGACATGGATAAACAAGAAAAGAAAGGGTTCGATCCCATGGAATTCCAGGCCTTCATATGCACTGGGCAGGTGGAGGAAGGAGGCGTGTTTTTCAATGAGCAGTAGGGCCACCTAACTGAACAAAGTGTTGGTTGAAAGATTTATAATTTGAACAGATGGAAAAATACAAGAACATTGTCTCCCGCCACGTGGCCAAGGGAGCCAGATGGACAGAGGCTTCAGTGAGTCCAGGGACCTGAGCAGTTCAGGGAAGGCAGGTGGTCTGGTCTGGAAAGTGCCTGGAGTGTGGGGGACGCAGAGAACAAGGTGGGCAGACATTCAACAACACGCTGAGAAAAAAAGGGCACAATTTTGGGGGTAGTATTTAAGCCATTGCTTTCTTTTTTTTTTTTCCCCCACAGGCAGAGTGGACAATGAGAGAGAGAGACAGAGAAAGGTTTTCCTTTTGCCGTTGGTTCACCCTCCAATGGCCGCTGCGGCGCACCGCGCTGATCCGAAGGCAGGAGCCAGGTGCTTCTCCTGGTCTCCCATGGGGTTCAGGGCCCAAGCACTTGGGCCATCCTCCACTGCACTCCCTGGACACAGCAGAGAGCTGGCCTGGAAGAGGGGCAACCGGGACTAGAACCTGGTGTTCCAGTGCCATAAAGCGGAGGATTAGCCTATTGAGCCTCGGTGCCGGCCTAAGCCATTTCTAAATATTGATGAGTGTAGGATTTTGACCAGGCCACTACGTGGTAATCCTGTCAATCCTGACGGCTGTTTGTATGTTTCAGGGAGTCAAGCTGGTGTCTGCCCTCAGCTGGGTTGAGAGAGTGGGAAGATAGGGCTGGTTTGTGGGTGGGTGGCCTGCTCTGCCACTGCTCTGGGAATCAGTGAGCAGCAGGCTAAGCCTGGGAGGAGAGGTTGCTCGTTATTAGTAAGTAGACTGAGATGCTTAAATCCTCTTCCCACACTACAAAAAAAGTGTTAGCAGTGCTGGGCTAAGTGGCTGACAGCAGACACCACACACACGGTCCCATCTTGTGGTGTGTCCTTGGTCCAAGCAGTTCTTCTGCCTCTTGCCTGTTGTGTGTGGACTCCTCCTGTTACCCAGCTAGGAGTGACCGACCCTGCTTCCGCACAGAGCATCCTGTTTCTCAGAGCTCACACACCAGGCATGCTGCATGTTCCTGGTCTGATGAGCCAGCCCAGAGGTGATTTTTTCCCTGAGGCTGTCTCTGCACACATCCTTGTGATGTCTGATACCTTGATGAGTCCGGTGCTTTATTCCCTTGGTCAATCTTGTGTTGTAAGTGACCCGCTAAAGTGGTTTCCCCCCACTTCCTGTGCTCACAACCTGAGGCTCAGAGCTCAGGCAGCAGGGGAAGACTGGCTTCCTTGATGAGTAGAGCCATGGCAACAACACTTGAAGCTGATTCATTATGCAGGTCCTTGGCCGCCTCGTAAGGAACAGACTCTCAGCTCATTAAGAAATAAGATGTGTGCCTATTAGTTGGTGTAAATGCACACAGAGATTCTTAATACCATGTTCTGAGTTGAGCAACCTTTTCCCCCATCAGAGATCCATCCTGCGAAGAAACCTAATGTAATTCGATCTGCACCCAGCCTGCAAACCGCAACTACCAAGCGGCTGCTAAGCACCCCGAACCATACATCTCTGAGCATTCTGGGGAAGAGAAACTACAGTCATCACAACGGCCTGGACGGTATGTCAGCCTGGGGTTTCCACAGGCTCTTCCCAGGGGCTGGGCCCCTCTGCCCTTGCTCGCTCAGGTGTGCCACCTGCCGAGTCCGAGAGTGGGTTATAAATAGGTGTACTGTGGCGTGCAAATGTGCGGGAAGAGGGGAATGGACAGCGGCCACGTGCCAGGGGCAAGACCTTTTGCCCCGCGATGTTTCTGTGTTTGAGTGTGGGTCCTTCTCGCTGTCCCCTCCCGTCAAGAGGCTTATCTGGAGATGGAGGCTGGCGTTGGCAGGCCCCTTCTGCTGGGTGCTAATGCGCTGACTGAACTGAACAGATTATTTCACCTCCAGCGCTCTCTGGGGATTCTTCAGTGTCCCATGGGTCATTCTGAATCTGGCACATTTCCTCTGCGTCTGTCGCTTGCAGATTTTTGTAATTGCTCAAGAGCGCTATAGGTCAGGAAAGGAACTGCCTGAGTGATATCCTAAGTACAGAAATCATAATTGGTTGGAAATGGAAACACTGAGAAGTATCACCACATATCTGAAGTACTTCTCTCTTGGGCTTGGCCGTTTCGTGCCTCCTCAGGTGGAACTGAATTATCTTGCCATTTGAGCCCTGTAGTAAGTCATCCGGGCAGTGTATGCCGTTCATTTCAGTAGTCCTGGAGTTTAAAGCTGTCTTTATTGTTTAAGTGTTGGCATTTATTTATGAATAAAACTCTCTCCAGGCTTTTCATGCCTTATGGCACTCTAAATTCCTTCAGTGACAGTAAATTATTTATAACAAGGCCCTAGAGCGAAGCTGTGAACAGGCCTTCTAATAATAATTTCCTATGGTTGTTTTTCTTCACTATGATGATGATGATCATAAGCATGTCAGAATGAGTAAAAAACCGGGGGGTGAGCAGTCTAGTTTGCATTTCTGGGTATGGTTTTTCCAGAACTTAGCTTGCAATGATACTTGCTTGCTAATGAGAACACTGGCCACCCTTGCCACAGTGTGCCTGATTTCAAGATGACAGAAGAACCGAGAAGGACTCTGTCAAACTGTGGAATTCGGGTGTCTCTGCTGGAATCTTTCCTTTCCTCAGCACTTCCCTGGCACCTCTGGGTGCATGGTCCTACTGCAGAAAACATAAAGTGAGTTCTGGTTCTTTGAGGTGCAGGCATATACAAGTGTATTCTTTGTGGCACAAAGACTCATTGTGACAGATGTTAGATTCGCTGCTCTCTGGTGTCTTCTCCTGCCCACATGGCCATCCTGTACCCATCCTGGCTGTGTGTTGCAACAGCTGTTGCCCTTGCCACAGTATCACGGGAGCCTCTCTCCTTGGAATTTCTTTAAAATGCCACCAGGGAGTGTTCCTCCTATATAACTCTTTTATCCTGTTTCCTTCCGAGTGGATGCTGCTGGAATGACATTGCTTTTCTACTGTAATGGAAAAACCAAGCGAGGCACGCACCCAAGTCCATGGGAGTACAGTGAGTGAGACTCTGGCCTTGTCCAGGAAAGACACCTGTCCCATTTTCTGAAAAGACCCAGCATTGAAGCCCTTCTTCAGACCCTCTGTCTTGGCTGTCTGCCAAGGTGTGCAGAGCAAGGCTGATGTACAGAGCTGTGCTACACCTGCCCTTGGCTGCATAATCTCATTGCATCTACATGATAAGGGATTCTGGGAGACCAGGAAATTTGTGTTGCATACTATTGTATCTCTGTGCCTCTCACAGTGCCAGGCATGTAATAGGTGCTCGTATATATTAACTGTATAAATAAAAATGATTGAGAGAAATGAGAGCTAGAGAGGTGAGTTAACTTGTCAACACTTAGTAGGTACTCCATAGGTGGATTGGGATTCCTACTTGGCCGTGACTGATTGAGGCTGCTCTTTGAAAGCCACTGTTACAAATCAGTTATGACTGTCAAGCATGCTGTCCTGGGTTTTGTCAACAAATTAGAAATCACGTAAGTTATTTTAACAGCTGATTTCCTATAAGAAATCAATATGACAGATATTGGAGGACAGACTGGGTGAACTTGGAACACGGAGTGGGTCATAGGAAACAGCTGCTACTCTTGAGGGTTGGAGAGCACAAGGAAAAAGCTGGGTTATCGCAGCCCAGAAGCTCAAGGAGGACCCTGAGGAGAGGGTGCTGTGTTGCTGGTCGGGCATCTCTCAGGAGGTATGATGACACTAAGTCTGGGACAAACTGCTGCAGCTGCTTGGGGCCACACAACAGGTAAGGAAGAAGCAGGTCCCTCCTCCCTCCTCCAGCCTTGCAGGCTCTATCTAGCACCCCCTACTGGCATGGTAAGAACAGGACAGCAAACAAGAAATGAGTGTTCAGAGGCCCAGCCCCAGCATCAGGAATCAGGATGGTCAGGTGTGGAGCTGTGAAACCAAAATGTAACAGAAACACTCATTTGAGAAAGTTTTTATGTTCCTAATGAATCTTATCCTTGGGATAATGGGTCTGTTTCTTAATTTCTTGTGATATAGAATCAAGATAAACTCAAAGTACTGAAAAAAATGTTTGGTAGTGGTGAGTTTTCATGAGGTAGTTAATAGCATTATATGTTGAAACAGGTAGACTCAAACTCAGGAGAAAGCCTTGCCCTGACAGGGAATCTGCATGCTGTGTGCTCTGTTAAGCAAACTGCATGGTCTAGGGCAACACACGGATTCTGTGACCACCATAAGGGAACTTCAACTCTGAGAGTCAGCGTGAAATCTGCACACACAAGAAGCCCAAGTGCGGGGAATCAGGAATGGCAGTGATGTGGGCCTTAGTGCCTTAATTTGGAATCTGGGTTCTTGCCTCACAAAAAGATAAGAATTCAAAGGGAAGTCATCCATACATACTACAAAACTGAGAACAGGATTTATTTAAAAGTGAGAGAATAAATATACATTCATTCATAAGTGTAGGTTGCCCCTCACGGAGAAATACTGTTCATGAGTGGGCTGGAGGGTTGCCCAAAAAAAGAGAGAGTCAGAGGAAAAAGCCTAAGTAGCACCCCCAGTTGTAGTCAGGAGTGAAAAGAGGGCTCTCCCTCATTTTCAGCCTCTTTTAGCCTGTGTGAAGCCATCTGGGAATCTTAATGGCACCTTCATGAGGAGTTTAATATCCAGGTAGTCATCATGATGTCTCCTGGATGAGATACAGGTACATCCTGGGAAAGTGGTCTCTTTTGACTGACAGGTTAAGATACTATATTGCAGGGCTACAATGATTCCAGCCCACGTAGGCCTAACTTTCTGCCTGCCTGTTCATACTGTATCATTAGGAAGAATGAAGGTTTCAAACTTATAGACCAACATTAAGACACAGTGCCTTATCAATCTCCCTACCCTTCAGTCTTTCCTCTTAAGCTGTTGGTCCAGCTGTGTGCCATGTGCTGCCATTGGTGGTTTCCAAATCCTGCCTCCATTTCTTTTCTTCCTTTTTTTTTTTTTTTTAAAGATTTATTTACTTTTTTGAAACACAGAGTTACAAAGAGGCAGAGACACAGAGAGAAAGAAAGAGGGGAGAGGAGAGAGAGAGAATGTCTTCCATCTGCCAGTTCTCTCCACAAATGGCTGCAATGGTCAGGGCTGGGCCAGGCTGAAGCCAAGAGCCAGGAGCTTCTTCCAGATCTCCCACATGGGCTCAGGGTCCCAAGTACTTGGGCCATCTTCCACTGCTTTCCCAGGTGCATTAGCAGGGAGTGGGATTGGAAGTGGAGCAGCTGGAATTTAAACTGGCACCCAAATGGGCTTCACCCACTACTCCACAGCACTGAGCCCCCTCCATTTCTTTTTTTTTTTTTTTTAAAGATTGATTTATTTATTTGAAAGTCAGAGTTACACAGAGAGAGTAGAGGCAGAGAGTCAGAGAGAGGTCTTCCATCTGATGGTTCACTCCCCAGTTAGCCACAACAGCTGGAGCTGCGCCAATCTGAAGCCAGGAGCCAGCTTTTTCTGGGTCTCCCATGCAGGTGCAAGGGCCCAAGGACTTGGGCCATCTTCTACTGCTTTCCCAGGCCATTGTAGAGAGCTGGATTGGAAGTGGAGCAGCCGGGACTTGAGCCAGTGCCCACATGGGATGCTGGCACTGCAGGCGGTGGCTTTACCCGCTACGCCACAGTGCCGACCCCCCCCCCCCCCATTTCTGACTTATAGATATCTGACATTGTTGCTGCCAGCAAACAAGTGTCTTCCATGTTTGACCCACTTGGTTGACTCCATGTTGCCATGAGTAGGGAAGGCATTGAGGTTAGTAGGGGTAGAAGAGTCATTACTAGAAAACTTTCCATGTCTGAGAACCCTAATAGGACAGTGGGAAGACGAGATTTATCTAAGCCATGAAGCAGGAAAGGGGCGAGGGGAGAACACCTAAATGTTCAGAGTTGGGTGTGATTAATTGCTGCTGACTTTCCTGATTACCTCTTGTGTGAGCATAGATGAGTGCCTGGGTTTCTTTGCACCCGTTTTCTCCTCTGTAAATCCACAAAGTGCAGATTATGTTGGCCTAACAGAGTTTTTCTAGTGATTAACATTTTTCATGTATTTTGTGTCACTTGGTCTTCCAAACCCTTTGTGAGGGTGTTATAACCTGCATTTTTGTAAAGAAGAAAGTCAAATCTCAGAAAGGTTAAGGAATTTACGAAAGACACACTGATAACAAGTAGCAGAGATGGGCCTTACAGTCCAAATCTAGTGTTTTTCCTGGCTGGATGAGTAAGGCCCTGTCTTGTGTGTGGAATGCAGCACATGTGACATTTACAGTCTCTGGGTGTGGGAGATGGATGTGTGTTTGCAAATTTTTAAAGAAACATAGTGGGTGTTTTTCTTTTCTTGTACTGTAAAATGTAAGCCATCTTTTTTTTTTAATTTTTTAAAAAATATTTATTTATTTTAAAAGCAGAGAGAGATCCATCTTCTGTTTGCTCATTCACTCCCCAAATGGCCCCAATGGTCAGGGCTGATCCAGGCCAAAGCCAGGAGCTCCATCCAGGTCTCTTACATGGGTGTCAGGGGCC